AACTTATCGGCTTCGTTGAGAAGCTGGGTTTGCTTTGGTCGAGTGTGAATATGTGTGAGCCACAATAAATCCAGCGATTCAAATCCTACTTGAATCACTACTTTCGCACAGGCACCGCTCTTAGAGCGCCTTAAGGAATTTTCTGTAGTGCTTGTGAAAAAAATTAATCGGACTGTTCGAAATGGCAACTCCTGTAGGTTATGGAAATAAAACATTGTAGACTGGAGATATAAAACAGCAATGTACGATGTATATTGGTAAAAATACACAAGGTAATAATTCAAGAACCTCATCATCCATGACAGGGAATAATTTAAAAGTAATTTTTCTGAAAATAAGGAAAACATCGCGTTTCCACATCTATCACCGTGTGCCCCAACTCGCATATGAAATATGTTACTTTCGAAACGACGGAAAATTATTCGTGAAGAGGCACCCATTATTTTGTCTTGCTGAATGAATTTCATTTTACTTTGTTGAATACACGTAGATTGTTTCTGGGCATTGCCACGCTTTGCTGAAGGGTGATATTGATTTCATAACTTTATTGCCTATCAGTTCAACTCATGATATCAGCGCATATTTTACTGTTATAGTTGCACATCAAATATATTGATAATATCCCTAACCGAGTGTTAGAATTACGACATGTGCCGTTATAGTGATATACAGGTTCTTTTATTAAGCGCGTCCTATCTTTAAATTTGAATAAAACAAAGGGTGTGTGAGATATTATCGAAATTTTTCATTCGTTTCAAAGACCTATTGATGCCATTGTGTGTGGCATATAAAATCTTTCAAATGTTCGTCACGGCTCCTCTGGGTGAAGCGCAATCGAAACGTACCTACTTTCCATGACTCTGGCGAATACATTTTTCCAATGGCATTGGTTACGTTAGTTTTGATGACCGCTGTGATTTGTGGCTCATTTATATTCACCTGCGACTTGTGAAAACCCCACAAGAAAAAGTCTAACAGCCTGGCCACGGGACACTCGCCCATGCGAATATTCGCGCGGTGCGAACGGCGAAGCGTCTAGCGACTGAAACAAACTCATAGGATTGTACTTATGAAGCCACGCGCAACGGCGACCGGCGAAGCGACCGGCAAAATGTACCGAGCTAATCGCGTGGGCGATGCGAACGTGACTGCCCGTGGCCTGCAAACGGTGTCGCGCAAATGGTCGCCTCGCTCCCGGCTTCGTCGTTCGCACCGCCAATCCGCGTGGCCAAGCCGTAACGTTGTCAAGTCGCACGATCTTGGTGACCAGTTTACAACACCTCCCACGTGAAATGACCATGTCCTCAAATCGCTCGTGCAGACTATCTGATGTGGCATGTGCTATGTGGCACTTAGCGCTGTCCTGTTAAAATCACATGTCGTTGGTAATCATCGACCTATAGGGCTCGCCGTTGACAGTGATGGCCTGGCAAACGTCGTCCTCAAAGAAATATGGACCAATGATGCCGCCAGCCTAAAATCCACACCAAACAGTTACTTTTTCGGGATGCCTTGGACGCTCTTAGATCTCATGCGGATTAGTATCGTCCCAAATTTGACAATTTTGTTTGTTCACGTACCCATTCATCCAGAAATGAACATCATCGTTGAAGATGATTTTTCGATGAAAACTAGGGTCAGTTGCCAACTGCTCCAGGGCACATTGAGCGAACATACGTCTTTGTCTATGGTAGTTTACCTTCAGTTGCTGGGTCAGTTGAATTTTGTACGAGTGCAGGCCCAATTCACAATGCCAAATTCTTCAAGTTGTGATCTGCGAAAGGCCGAATTCTTGTAAGCGACACAACACAGACAGCGACAATGTTTTCGGCAAATCTTGCGTTTCATCGATGTACGGGTGTTGGTTGATCGTTTACTGAACCAGTGGACTCAAATTAACCATCACATTGCGGTAGGATGGTTATTTGTACGTGTTGTTGAATGCAATATACGTTTATGGTGATTTGGCGAACAGACTGAATAGATGACAACTAATTTGACAGAGGTAGCTTCAACAAGATGACAGTTATCAACTGTCAAAGTTCGGAAGTCCCTATTGGGAGACCCTATATTATTTTCGTTAATTCAAGATATTTTGAAAATCTATTGTGGGATTACCATTTCATAATATATGTGTTGCTGATGAAACACTGTTCACAATTTGTATAAAAAAAGCACCTGTCATAATCAACAGAAATGCAATACTCTTTTCGACGCGCGTTTCACTAACCTGTTTAGCGTCTTAATCACCTGAAAAGAGGAACGAGGAGGAGCTGAAAACTCCAATTTGGTTGGGAAGAGTATTCTGAGCCAGAGTTTTTTATTTCATATTTTGTATATTGTCTTCAAAGTTATTATTTATTAAGTTCCTTAGATTATAACGCGCTGATCATTTCCTCTGTGAGGTATTTTGCTTAAATGTTTGTCGGATATAATTCAATGCCTGGTATGAGAAGTATGTGTATGGCTCTTCAGTTTCCTGAAAGAACATTTCCTGCAAGTGACCGTCGATGGATATCTAAAAAATGGGTTTACAGTTTACGTATAAAAGATAAATTAATCAAATAACAATCTGCTAACAGTGGATTGTAAAACCTCAAATGTATAAGAAACTAACTATCATTCACTCAATATAAATGAAAGTAACCTGAGAATGTTCCAGATATATTTTGAGATTTCTTTGGCTATCGGGATAGTTATATTCTCTAAAGCATGAATAAGTTCATCCAAATTCTGAAGGCATTGTTTGTTTTGTTTCATAACAGTGTAACTCGGACATTCGAAGATGATATGAAATAAATTTTCGGCCTTATTACTATTGCAAACAGTGCATATTACACCTGGATCGATCAAATACACAATTCAATTCAATGTGAACTTGATTTCAAAATGTTTGGCCATGCGTAATTGTGCAAGAGTGCGGGTAACTTGTATAAAAAAAATCTGTTTAAAATCTGTTTTTCCGTTAATCAGCTGCCGCCCCCATACGAACGACAACTCTCAGAAGTTGAGAAACTTGTGCAAGCTGAGGACTAACGAGGTCTTACCTTTTTACGTGTGATTCCTAACACGGTTGCAGAATCATCCCAGCTTCAACCAGATAAATTCTCTCTAGAAAAATATCTGGTCGAGGCGGGAATCGAACACACGACCTTCCGATCGTGAGTCGGACGCACTACCACCGCGGCCAATTCCA